CTATCTATCTATCTATCTATCTATCTATCTATCTATCTATCTATCTATCTATCTATCTATCTATCTATCTATCTATCTATCTATCTATCTCTATTTTGTAATTAACTACTTCCAACTAAACTCAATATTTTTGCATCCTTTGAGAAAAGTGGGAAATAGCTTTAAAGAGATCATCATTTCCTTCCCTTCTTCAGGTCTATCTCAGAACCTAACCCCCTTCAGCCTCTCCTCTTATCTCATTCCTTTCAAAGAAGGCGAACCATTTTGTCCATTCTCTCACAGCCTCCATGGCATTGTATCTATGCAGCCTCCCATCTCTTGAAGATTCATACATAATTAGTCATCTTTGATGCATTTTCTTTCCATCACTCTCCTCTCATTTAGTCACAATTACTGTGCTCTTGGCCTTGAATCAGACCTAAGCTCATTTATGCTTTAATAGTTTCTATTATCCAACCAAAACTGTAATAACTTACTCCGCCAAGGCCAGGGGGTCCATTGGGTCCTGGAGGTCCTGGGGGTCCTGGATTTCCAGGGATGCCAGGTTCACCATCTCTGCCACGAGGACCAGGACTTCCCTAAAGAAAACGACAAGGCATAATTATATCTTAGATAAGAACTGTCTAATGTTGGGTCATGTTAAGTATTTCCTCATTTGATACATGTATAAACCTTAATAAATTAAATTATTAGCAAAGCAAATTATGATGAAATGTTACAAAGTGAAAGTTTTAGTTGATCAGCTCATAAATAACCATGTTGTAACATTTCCAGAACACTGAGGTGGCTCATTCAATAGAAATATGGATACAGTTGTTTAAAACATATAATTTTATATTCTTAATCTTCTGTAAGTGAAGTGAACTGTTTTGAATAACAGTATGTCTGATCAAACATTCATTACTAAAATTGTTAAACAGGTCCTGGGAGGGAAAAAAAACAGCTCCAGCTCATTTGAGCTATTTTCAGATTTCACTGGCTGTTTAACATTAAAAATCTTAAGTTGTCTAGTGTCAACTACCAAGAATCAGGCATGAAAAGTGGCATTTTAAATCACCCAAAATGAAACTTTCAGGAATTAAACGTAATTTTTTAAAATCATTTCTTTGCAAATTACTTCACATACACGTGATCTTTTTAAGTCGGCCCTGCATACCTCTGTGCAAGCTGTGACAAAACACCCAGCAAGCTGATGCAAAACGAAAGATAATGTAAAGAACAACTAAAAAGGCTGCTGAGCTTCTGCTTGCCAAAAATTAGTCCAGCTCACGTTTAAATCTACATAAACAAGACAGCTACACGACATAAATTGCTTGCCTGCAGCCTACTATCACATCCGCCTTGTTACATTAATGAGGCGATTAAAGCAGATGCAGATTTCCCACCACAAGCAACAGCAAGGCCCCTGAAAGAAGCCGACGTTTACATTACAAGTCTCCCAACAGTCTCACATCTGTTAAACAACCCAGACCACAGAGCCTAAAGGAAACGACACATGACTAGTTGGACTATGGTGCTCAATGAAAGGCTACTATTATCTAAACCTGAAAGCTGTAATACACACACATACACCCACACACACACACCCTCCAGGAGTCTCAGCTATCAGATTCAATCAAACATACTGTACTTGTTAACTAAGGAGGGGGGCACAGTGCTTTTTTATGCCTCAAGAAGATCTTCTCTTTTTGATTTTTATGAAACTAACCTTTTCTCCTTTTTCTCCTCTTGATCCGCGTGGTCCCTGCTCTCCAGGTGGGCCCTGAATAAACACAACATTGAGATCAATAACATAACATGTGGTTTAATGTGTAAGTGCCATTAAGATTTAGCTGCAGTATCTGAAATAATTATGTCACTTTTCAGTCAAAAAACGGTTTTATACGGTTTCTTTAAACCTAAAGTTCCTGCATGTTTAGCTGCTAAAATTCAAAACTTGTCAAGACTTAAAATGTACATATTCTTGGTATATTCACCATCCAATTTGATATTTTACGACAGAAAATCTGTTTCAATGTACTACAAAGCGACGGTCACATTTTAAAATACCAAACTAAACAACAAATACAAATTGGAATGGTGGTATTCATTTCTGAAGGAGTTTAAACATTTAAAAGCATAAAAATGGTACATACCATTGGGCCAGCCGGTCCTCTCGGTCCTACAACCTTTAGTGGAATAAGAAATCAATAT